TCGCACACTACCTTCGGGGATCGTTCTCCTAAAAAATGAACGGTCGGGATCGGCCTTGCTACCTCCAAGACGCGGGGCTGGATGCTGACCAGCTTCCCATTCAGACAGTAGCCCTTTCGAACCCCATCCTCAAATCTAGCAAGCGCTGCGGGGTCCACCCCCACTTTGTGGTACCTGATGGCCTTAACGAGCTGTAACAATTCTGGGATTTCAAGCACCACCTCCGACGCTTCGTTCCGACCTTCCTTTAGCTTGGGCAAGCTGACCCCAAGTTCGACTTCCGACTCTTTTTCTACCACCATAACTTCCAGGGCCTCGTCCTCCTGTCGCCTTTTCTTTAGAGGCAGACCCATTTTGATCCATTCCTTTTTACTAAACACTTCCTCAATCATAATTTCTACCCTTTCCCTCATGCCTTGCATCCCTGCGAATGCGCCTTTCCGCGCGCTTTCTTCAAACGTCGGCGACCAGGTTGCCAACTTACCCTTGGGAGGGTCCCCTCCAGTTCCGAGGAGTCGGAGAAGTTCTCCACGACCAGTCACCGGATCCTCTATGTCTACCATATATGTGCCATCATGCAGGTGCATGCCAATCATTTCTACATTGGCGCACCATGGTCTCCCGAGGATTATGTCATGGTCTATTTCTTCCATAACGGTCATCCGTTGGAAAGACCAGATGGATTCCCGAATTTCTGCCTTGATCGCGCTGTCGGGACAAAAATCCCTATGAAGGTTTCTGCCCTAGTTTTCCAACGCCAGACGCTGTCTGACCTTTTTGTTGGACTGAGAGATCTTTGTCGGACATTGTCCGACTTTTCTCGCTGGATTGAAAAACTTGATGAGATTGACGTTGCNACGCTGTCTGACCTTTTTGTTGGACTGAGAGATCTTTGTCGGACATTGTCCGACTTTTCTCGCTGGATTGAAAAACTTGATGAGATTGACGTTGCCAAAATTTATTTTGACCAACCCTATGACTGAGACATCAATTTTTTTTTAGAACCAAACGTCTTTGACGTCTGATCGAAACAGTGAGAGTCAGCGGTGACCTGTCGTCCGCGGTTCCAACAAGTCCGCAGGGGTGCGCGGTCGGGGAAAAGACTAAGGGGAAGGGGAGTGGAAACAGCTGTGTATGTGGCCGCGGCCGTGAGGTAAGTACAGACAGAAAAAAGAAAAAAAAAAAGAGGGATAAAGGGAAGAGTTGCGCACCTGGCTGTGGGTGCAGCACATGTGCGCACCCTGTGGGATTGGACATGCAGATGCCTGTTCGGGGTGAACAGGCTTCTGCACATGGCTGGATTCAGCCAATTTAAGGTCGAATCCGGCTTGAATGACAGACCAGGTGCGGTACTTGAGCCTGGGATTGGTTTTCTCCACCCAGAGATCAAGTTTCAGCCCTTGATCGCGACCCAGATCAAGGGCTGAGCTCAGATCCGAGTTTGGGCTGAGGCAAAGTGGATGCCTCAACCACTTCTCAGGCTATAAGAGCAGCCTCCAGCCCCAGCAGCCAAGCATTCTTGGCATCAGTGTTGGGGTCTCACTGTGAGATTGCTGGCTGGCTGCGGAGAAGTGAGGCGGAACGGAGCTGCTGGCGGCGGAGGAGGAGGACTGCAGGAGGAAAGGGAAGGTGTCCATAGCTGTGGGATGCAGCCATAGCCGCCGTCACAGCGAGGAGGAAGGGAGGAGGTGCTGGAGGTCTGCAGGAAGGGTGAAAGGTGAAGGAGGAAGCTGCCATAGCCACCACCTTGGTGAACAGTGGAGCGCAGGGGAGGTGCTGTCTGCCCGGTGCGGCCGCGACGGCACTAAATCAAGGTGACGAGGGAGCACTTCCAACCCTTTTTGCAACAACGTCGGCCATAGTTGGACCTGTGTGAGGAAGGTGCTGCCTGCACAGTGCGGCGGCGGCAGACTTTCTGTTGAGGTGCGGGGAAGGTGCTGCCTACACAGTGCGGCGGCGGCAGACTATTTTTGTTGCGGTACAGGGAAGGTGCTGCCCGTCTGGCATGGTGGCGGCAGGTATTTTTGGCAGCAACGCAG